GAATGTGCTAGTGTAATTTGAAGACAAACTAGATTTCTGTGAGTACTCTGAATCATAGAATAATTTGAGATAAAAGTACCAAAAAGGGTAGTCAATATTTTTATTTATCGACTTAAAAAAATTATGTGTTTACTGAAAGAGTCTACAGTATTGTATAAGTACAAAACCCAGATTTTCTTAGGAGGACCTACATACTACAAATTAAAATTAGTTATCATTGTGATCCAGGATAAATTAAGTCAGTACATATTAGCATGAGTAAGAGTAGCAGTCTTAAATGTATAATTTTTAAAACACAAATAATATAAAAATAAGTAAACAATCATAAGACAATTTAGATAGATTAATGGCCTTAATTATTAATTTAATTGGTTTCTTCTAGCAAGTTCCCAATAATAATTTCATGTGTGTACAGCGAATGTGATCATTTGACTTTAAAATTCTTTCATAAAAATGAATGATTCTGAGGTTAATATGAAGAAAGTACTTACCCAGTCAACATAAAAGAATGCTGTTACTAAAGGAGCAAGACAAAAATTAACAATCTAATGGAAATATCATTAATAATCTGTGCTAAAGGAATTTATGAAGTAGTGTTGATTTAATAACTAGGAAAACATTTGATAGAAATATGTCTTGTATTTACTTGTATGTACTTAATAAGAATCCAGATCAAATACATAGTTGTTTAAATAGAAATGGTGAAATATGTCAGCATACAAAATGTAGAAACACAAACAAAATGTAGACCCATACTGGAAACATCCTCAGTATGATGTATAAAATATCTTACTTGCTATACAATGTTAAGAAAGGAAGGAAACAACTCTGATATTGATAGTTTTTTTTTTTAAATACAAACTCTCAGTAGGGTCGAACATTTTGTGAAAAGACGTGATTAAAGAGATTAAAAAATGCATATGTTCATGTTATCTGCTATGAGTCTGAATTTCCTAAAGAAGAGAGAAAATCTCGACTAATACATGGTGCCAAAGAAGTCCTGCAGTAGATCCTACTGACATCAGAGAGTTCAGAATGAGAAATCCAATCAGGATCATTTGAGATGAGGGTACATTCTGAGAATCATATCATTAGTTGATAGTTTCTGTATGAACGTCATGAATATAGTTACACAGACTCAGTGTTGCAGGTCAGTCACTGCACTTTATTTAATACAATCAGTTGCTCACAGCTGCTTGTCATCTTGTCACCCGCAGTTGTAGGGTTTCCAGTGTGCTTCTCTGGTCTCCATATAGACAGCACACACATGCAGCGTATATTCTTACAGGCACATAAAATGTAAATAATCTTTTTAAAATGGGGTTGTAGTCTAGTAAATTTTGGAACATAAACAGGACCAGCCATAGTAAAATAAATAAGAATTTAAGAATGTTATCCTGTAATTATAGAGGTGTTATACACATAAAAAAAAATTTAATAGGTGAAATAAAATTTTGAAATGCTACCATGATTAACAAAAGCCAGAAATGTTGACCTTTCTCTAGTATAGGTATTCCATTCTATTAATTATCTGGGTATTTTTTTTTTTTGCTATAGAATTTTTTGTAGCTCTGTATTATGAGCAAAATTAAGAAATTATTATTAAAAATCAGAGAGACTTGTATTTTAAAGCTTAAATCGAATAGCCATTTTCATATTACTGCTGTGTGTGTGTGTGTGTGTGTCTGTCTGTCTGTCTGTCTCTGTCTGTTATTCAGATTGTCCTGACACTCACTGTCATAACTTATTCTAACCTCATATTCAGAATAGTTCCCTAGCTTCAGCTTCCTAAATGATGGAATTACAAGCATGAGCCACCACCATTCTTGGTGGAACAAAACGGGGGGGGAACTACCTAATAGTCCAGGACCGGCTTAGAATCTCTGTTAAGTTTATTTGTCGTGTATCTTTCCATTTCCTGCGAGCTGTTAAATAGTTCCTCAAGACACTGGCCTTTTGAAGAGTGTACTTTATTTGTTAGGTTATCTTTTAAAGGTAAGTTCCCTCCTGGTTACCCACCATAGTAGTCTTTGTTCTTCAGTCTTCTGTAAAGTTTTCCAGTTCATTTTATCCTATGAGTTTTAGTACTACCTTATTTAGCTCAGTAAAGAACATTTGAATTGGGGGTGAGGACAGACAGGGATATTTTTTAGTGTTAGAGTCTCTGCTTAAGACCCAAAATTTGATACACACACATACACATACACACACTTAATCAAGACCCTGCCTTTACATTAGAAACTATCCAAAAGAGGGCTGATGGATGATTTTATTATAGTGCTCATGTTTTTGGATGTTTATTGCTAAGAAATTTAAATATTGAAAATTTACTTTTAAAAATACATTTTAAAATTACACTTAATTTGAGATTGTCATGGACTAAGATGTAATTATAAAACAGAAACTAATATTTGTACTTACAATATAGAGGTCTTACATAACTTATGTTAATTATCTTTTATGTCTTGACATCTTAATACGATTTATTTTTCTGATAGTTGCATGGGTATCCTATGAAATTTTTATTTAAATTTGTAGAGACATGTTCGTATTGGTTTTGTCAACAGAGATAAGTTATTCTTTAGGACCTTCCCCAAAGCAATGTGCCTTACCCTCTCTGAAGAGTGGATGGGGGTGGGATGGGGAGGTATGTGGCGGGGATGAAAGGAGAGGAGGGAGTCGGAACACGGATTGGTATTTGTAACGAAAAAATACTGTTTTCTTTTTTAAAAAATTTTTAAAAATTTATAAAGAAAAAAGGAAAAGAAATGAGTGTTGTGTTCCATAGTAAATTATGTGCAGAAGGGAAGGTAGGCAGTTCTACAGGTAAAAGGAAAAGGGTTACCCAATTTGTCCTGAAATTACTGTCTTTGACTCAAGGTCAACTGACAAGAATGGGATTGACTCAAGCCTGAACAGGCAGCTGTATTCTTCTCTCTCCCATAAATAATTTTTGTTATGTAATTTATGGGGCTTTTATTCAAATTGTTATTCTAGCAGTTTTTTGTGATGCAGTCAGTGATGCAGGAAAACCCGAGTGACTTTCCTGGCTCTCTTTCCAGGGGTTTGACAAAAGTGCGTTTTGATTGACAATTTTAATGTCTCTATTCTCCCTGCATTTATTTCCTCCTGTACCTTTTCCTTCTTACCCAGTGCTCTTTTCTTTGCTCTCTCCCTTTCCCTCCTAACTTTCACCTGTTATATTAGGATTTTATTTCTGTAGATGTCCCTGATCATGTTGAAGATGTTTTCTTCTATTATTTACAATTTTTTAAATTAAAATATAATTATATAATTTTCTTCCTTTTCTTTCCTCCTTCCAGCCTCTCCCATTAACTTCCCTTGCTTTCAAATTCATGCCTTTCTTTTTTAAATTTATATTCCTAAGTGTATAAATATGCCCACTCAGTCTGCATAATGTTACTTGTATGGATATGATGATAGATAGGACTGACCAGTTGGTTTTAAAGAACCAAATCTGAGGGCTTTTTTCTGCCTCTAATGACGGAGAAGGTTGGCAAACGTCAGTTTTCTTGTTTTGTCAAAGTAAGCAGTGAAAACAACACAGAGAGGCTTTCTTCTCTCTATCCCAATCCCCCTCACATTTGTATGTCACAGTCTATTCTGGCATGGAAGGGATGTTGGCAAAGTGTGAAGTACCAACCCCCAAAGTTTTTTGTTTTCTCTTTTGAGGCAGGATCTCTCGTTGGCCCAGAGCTCACTAAATAGGTTAGTCTGGCTGGCCACTGAAGCCCAATCCACCTATTTTTGCCTTCCCAGTGGTGGGATACCAAGTGTGTTCCACTATACATGCTTTTTAAAGTGGGTTTGGGGGATTAAACAAATCACCATGTTTGCACGGCAAACATCTTACCAATTCAGCTATTTTTCTCACTCCCTGGTGGGGAGAAATTTATATTTACCATTTTCCCTATTATTCAGTGCTTCCTTATGAATTGTCTTGTGTTCCATGATAACAGCAACTAACTCAGAGTAAATTTAAGTACACTTATTTGTAAAGTGCTTCATACATATTTCCTGCTTCATCACAAAATAATAAAATAGGCTACATTTTATGATCTTAATAAAGCTAAAGAGGTGAATCCATAAAGAAGAGTAGTTCATAGAAGAAATAACTATTTCTGGATATGTTGCAGATTTAGTGCCTATAAAATCACTATAGGATTGGGCAGTGGTGTTGCACACCTTTAATCCTGGGAGTCAGAGGCAGGCGGATCTCTGTGAGTTCGAGGCCATTCTGGTCTACAAGAGCTAGTTCCTGGACAGTCTCCAAAGCTACAGAGAAACGCTGTCATGAAAAACAAAAAACAACAACAAAAATAATCACAATAGGGATTTGAATTGAATGTTTTCAAAGTATGTTGAGTGGTAGAAAATTATAATTAATCTTTTTCATATTATATCTTGTTTAGCTGGTGAATCTCTCCTATTTCTTTTTTTCTTATTACTCTCTGTTTGTTTTTTTTTTTTTGTGTGTGTGTGTGTGTGTGTTTTTGGTTGTTATTGGCATTTTTCTTTTTTTAACACTTTGGAGATAGTCTTCTGTAGCCCACCCAGGCTAATGCTTAAACTTGTTATATAGGCAAGATTAACTCAGAACCACTGATCCTCCTGCTTTTGCCTTCTAAGTACCAAGTTTACAGGCCTTGGCCACCACTGTCAGTTTGTATAGGGAGTGGAAACCAGGGCTTTGTGCATGACAGACGAGCACTCTTCCAGCTGATCTCTATCACCTTCACATCACTGTTTTAAAAAGAATGTTTCATTTTTATTTCTTAATCATTCTTTGAGAGAATTACCCCCCCTCCATGTATTTACTTGAAAAAAATTGGAAGTATAGTTCTGAGAATTACAGGTTTTCACCATTTGTGTTCACTTTATTATAACTCACATTTGAAAGTCCATAAGTAAGCATTTGGCTATTCTGTGTAAGAATGTGGATTACATGGAGTTGTAAGTGTCTTTTCTTATCACCTTAGACAAAGAAACAGCCTTGGTATAACAGCACATTAGCATCAAGACGAAAGCGACTCACTGCTCATTTTGAAGACTTAGAGCAGTGTTATTTTTCTACAAGGATGTCTCGTATCTCAGGTACATGTTCAGGATTTCTCAAACATGTCTGAAAATCATTCTTCAGATATATGTACAGGTTCATATGCTAGATATATGAGAAGTTCTAATGTCAAAGCAAATTGTATATTTTTGGCAGTCTTATCCATAGTGTGGAGGGTCTTAGAGATCATCAAGAATGCTGTTTTCTATTGCTAATCTGTGTTTCTCATTCAGGAATGTTTACTCTTTCTAGAGCAAACTATATAAAATTTGAAAAAATAACCATGGATATGTACCTAGCAAAAACAAGTTCTATTGAATTAACTCCTATTCAACATTAATAAGTTTTAAACACTTTTCTTTGTACTGAGGATAAAAAGATGGAAGAATTGGTTCTTGTTTATCATAAAGTGGGATATTATAAATCTGTAGGCAAAAGCAGCAGTTAGTTAATAATTTCATGTGTACCATGTGCTACAAATGTGCAATATGCATTGGTACAACTGAGTGTGAAAAATCTGGAATAAGTGAAAATGAAAGACATAAGAGAATGTTTTAAGTGGGGACTTAGATTATGTTTAGGCAAATAAATTAACTAAAAAATAATTAGAAACATTCAGAATACACAAAATAACATAGGACCACATGTACATAATAACATAAGATTTTTTAAGTTTTAAGTTTTTAAGTTTAAAGGGGTAATAAGATTGTTCTTCAACCTTTCTCAACATCTTTATTCATGCTCACACATGCACACACGCGCACGCACACACACGGAAAAAAAATAGTTGTAGGTGAAGTAGTTAGAACACAGTGCTTAGTACATGTTAGGTGCCCAACTAACTGATTCCATTAGTAGTATGCCTGTTGAAAATGAAAAACATCCAGGGGAAAATTGTCTGGTAGTGTACTGGTTATTGAAAACTTAGTTAATATTTTCTCCTGAATGAATCAATACTTTATAAGATATTATATAGAAGGTTTATATCTTGTTGATAAATTTACCTCATAATTGGTGGAGAAAAAATACTGATTCATGCAGGCTAAGTATGTGGCTCAATTGGTAGAATGCTTGCATAACATGCAGAATCCTGAATTTGATTGCCAATACTATATTTAAAAGTAAAAATAAGCATGGTGTGCTTGGCCTGCAATCCTCCTTTAAGAGTTAGAGCCAATAGGATTGGAAGTGCAAGGTCATCCTTGACTGTATAGTGGTGGCCAGCCTATACACATACATGCATTCATATATACACACATTTAGGGAAATGCTAAAGTTTGTTCTTAAGCCTGTTTAAAATTAATGGTGAACTTTTTTATGGACGAAAATATTTCCTGCCAAGGGTTTAAGTCCTTTATCAAATGCCTATAATTGTTTATGAATGTAGACTGCAATAAGGCGTGGTTAAATTAATAATCTGTTACCTATATTTTAACAGGCAGGGAATTGTTGACTCTTTTAAACATGACTTGATATTAGATGATAGGTCATAGGATAGATACTGAGATAATTTCTTTAAAATAGAGATGACAAAGAGCTTGAGATAGAATTAAGTCACTGACAACACTGATATGCTTGCTATGAATAGTAAAAGTGGTAACTAGGTAATTGGTTCTAGAAGATATAAATATATAGGCAAGGAGCACACTTAAAGCATGTTGTCTCTGGTTTTTAGAAATTTTGACTGATGCTAGATTTGCACATTAGCTACCCTTAACTGTACTACTGAATATGAGGTTCTTTCGACAGTTAGGAGGAAACCTTCACTTGTACCAGTGGAATCCATAAAATGTTGATTACACTTTATTATTTTTCCATCTCTACTTTGTTTTGCAGTTGTGAAAATGACAGGTAATTATTAGAATATTAATGTCTTGACTTCTTAGTTGTAAGTTAAACAGGATGTAAATGCAATGTCATCAAGAGGAAAAGAGACATTGAAAATCCTTCTCTAAGCTATAAGTAAGATGAAGAGGTGATATGCTGACAGATGTATACCTATTGATGTTGATCATAAAACAGTCAAGCAGACGAAATCCAAACATAACCAGATATTTGAAAAAGAACTGATTTACACTTAGATACTGAAATAGCAACAACTTGTTTGTATATTTGTTTTGTTTTACATATATGAATTTTTGTCTGTGTGTATATCTTTTTACCACATGTGTGCCTCCTCTGCTGCCTGTGGAGGTCAGAAGAGGACTTCAGGTCCTCTATAACTGGAATTATGAGTGGTTGTAAATCACCATGTTGGTGCTAGGAACCAAACCCAGGTTATCCCCTGCAAGTGCTTTTAATTCTGAGCCATCTCTGTAGCCCCTGTGTTTTTTTTCTTATAAAATGCAATATGTTTGTATTAATCAGCTTGATTGATAGCTAGGAGTACATGAACACTAGAAACAAATTGTGCTCTTCAAAAGGGTATTCATTCTTGAATGCTTGTGATTATATACTTAGTAGGAATTAAAGGCAAAATGTGAAAGAAGAGTAATATTAAAAACTTTTCTGAATGAATAAATAAGTTGTCTTGCATGTACTTATATTAAATAGTTCACAATATAGGATTACAAATGAAAATCATATCTACAGCATTCTGTTGTAGTTGATTTTAGTGATTGCCTGCTCTGTAACCCAGGTTTTATTTAAAATTTGTTTGGACTATGCCACTGTAACTTTTATGGAATAAGATTTTTATTTCTGTTATGATACTGCATGCTAACTAGGTCATTCTTATTTTTAGAATAAAAACACTACTAACTTGTACTCTCTTAGTCTAGGTTGTTTTTACTTACTGCCTAAATCTTTAGCATTTATGAAACATCAATGACAGAGTTTAATTTCTTCAAATGACTTTGTTTTTATTATAAGTATTAGATTTTATGTCATGTAAGTCAAGATAATTTTTTAAAGAATTATTTTTTTTGGTACCTGTTACATTTTAATTTCATTATGCCTACTGTTATACTTCAGATAGTATGTAATAAGTAGAATCACTAAGTTTATGTTGAACGTGCTATATGCATGTATGTGGATGACAAAAAGAAGGAAGTTATGAGAAGATAGCGTTAAAATAGTTCATTTCAAATTTTGATCTTTAGAGAGCTAAAGTAATAACTGTGTGTTGTAATTTTTGTTCTGTGTTTTCAGTTCTTTGGGGGAAAGTTTACAAATCAGATTTTCAATATCCTTTAAAAGCTGAGTACGTTATTATCTGTGTTTTCCTGCAAGCATACCTCTGTATTAGTGAATAAATTGCCAGATGCTTATAAGTTAATGTTCTGATTTGAATCTCATGTATCTCAGTTTTGAATATATTACCTGGAGGGGACTTTTTCTGGTGTTCTATTGAGTGTCATTACTGTTGTCTTTGAGAATCAGTAATTTATACACTGCCATTTTGTACTTCTGAGAATAGGACTTAAAATACTTCAGTTATGTCAGCACACTTGTTAATTTCAAATCTTTTTCCTAATATTTATTATGTAATTTTACTCTGACCATAAATGTTCAACCTTATAAACACATTTGTTAAATTAAGAAATACCAAGTCACGTGTAGATCTTCCTCCAGATCAGTCTTCCTTTACTGTCAGCGTTGGTAATCAGGATTTAATTTTAAGGAACAATTTGATTTCTGTTCACTAGAAGCTCTTTTCAAAAGTATTTCATTTCTTCTGAAGTTAGTTAGAACCAAAGTAGAGGAGATTGACTTTATATTCTTCATGGCATAGAAAGGTGTTATAGTGACTCCATAGACCATCTTTATTAAAGTTTAAAGATCACCTAGTTAATTTGAGCATGATGGTCTTCTTTAGAATCTTTAAAAATATTTGTTATTTGAAAGATAATCTTTAATACAAGGACATTGTTCTTTACTTCTTTTATAGTGTTATTCATTTACTTAATATCTTTTTTTTTTTTTGATACAGATGACAGTAGAACTGCAAGCCAGTTAGATGAATTTCAGGAGTGTTTGTCCAAGTTTACTCGATACAACTCAGTAAGACCGTTGGCCACATTATCATATGCTAGTGATCTCTATAATGGTTCCAGCATAGTTTCTAGGTAAGTATTTGGCACACTTCTTACTGTGTTCTCTTATTCAAATGTAAGCAAACTTACTAAATTTGTGAAGCATCTGTAACATCCCTGAAATTTGGAATTCAAGAGCTAAATGCCTTCCTGTTACTAAGATGTAGCAAATTGGAGTACTCAGTGGTACCAGTATGAGAAAAGGCTGCAGCTTCTCTTCATAATTGTATATCTGTTGTCTGCTGTAATGCTGGAAGGTGCTCCTTATGTCCTCCCTTTGGTTTTGCACGTCTAGATAGAATTGGTATATTTCCTTCCTGAATATATTTGACTCCAGTGAAACTTCCATTGAAGATAAGAATATGATCAAAGTAATAATATAGATTGTACAATTAGCATATAATTTGGGAACTTAAGGGATAGACTGCAGCTGGTCTAACTATATTAAGCACAAACTGTCAAGAGTATATTTAAAAAATTGTTTGGGGGCTGGTGTTCTAACTCAGCCAATAATTGTTTGCCTCAAAAGCAAGAGATCCTGAGTTAATACCCAGAACTCGTGTGAAATGAAGGCTGGTTATAGTAGTCCATGCTTATTATGCCATTGCTACTGTGCTGGCAAGTTCTTGGCCTGTAAGAGAACCTGTCTTAAAAGAAAAGTGGACAATACCCAAGGAATGGCAAACAAAATTGTACTCTTGACTTTTGCATGCACACATGTTCACCTACACCCTTGTGGGTTTACTTGGAAATAGACACAAATTTTACTAATATATGCAGTTTTCAATTTCTTAAAATAATAGACATTGCAAAACCACTAGGTTCTTTATCATTTATCCCATTTTCAATAATCCCCTGGTATTTACACATTGTCAGTAATAAATAGGCTGAATGGACATTTTTAAACAGATGAACAATTTGACCAGTTGGGTTATTATTGTTGTTGCTGTCTGTACCATTAAGCTACTCCCTGACCCCAGTCTCATTTTAACTTCTGAATGTTACTAAAACTTTGCATGCTTTTCATGGGGAAGACTAGAGTGGTTTTTTGTTTGTTTTACATTTATGTAGATTAATCCTGAACTCTGAGCCATTAAAGATACAAGATTGCAAGAAATTTTCCAGAGCTTTCTAGCTGCTTGTAAATGAAAAATCCATACATTGATTCCTTTTGGAAATTTTAGTTTTTCTTCGGTGAATAGAATTTAAAACTGCAGTGGAATTTCAACTTCATTTAATTGCATAATTCTTCTAACAAAATTTCATTGATTACCTGATATCTAAACTAAATGTATACTAGTGAAGTGGGTACATACAGTTGATTACATTCAGGAGGCCTCACAGTCTTACTTTCATGTCTTTATCATAGAATTGGGTAGTTTATAAAACAGTCTATTCTATAGTAACAGGTTAATATTATTACATAAATTTTTAACTGTTGATAAGAATATATGACATAGGTTGTTAAATGCTTCAGAAATGTAGTTCAGGTGCAAAATTCAAAACAATGAAAGGAGGGCTGGTGTGGTGGCACATGTCTTAAAGCCCAGCATTCTGGAGGCAGAGGCAGGCAAATCTGCTATATAGTGGGATAGTCTATCTGTCTCTGTCTCTCTCTGTCTCTGTCTCTGTCTCTCTCTCTCTCTCCCTCTCAAACGATTTTGTAATATTGACGTAATATAATATTCCTATACACATGCTAATGTATTTGGACGCTATTGTGATTCCGGTTACTGTCCCTTACTATTGTTGATTGTTCATGTGTGGTATTTTCCTATTTAGTTAAAAGCAAGATCAAAATTTCTTTTAAACAGCATAGTTTAAAAGCAACATATCTATCTGAGGGATTTAAGACTTATAGTCAGTTCATTTCAAGAGGAATATATCCTTAACATTTTAAAACCTAGTTTTGTTCAATTTAATATATTCCAAAATTTAACAAGAGTATTTAAATAATTTTTTACCATATCAAGACATTCATGTCAAAGCATTTTATATCCTAAAATAGAAGTAGCTTAAAATTAGATAGAATTTCAGACTGGAAATACTAGACATTCAAAGTGAGGTCAGTCACATTTACATATTTTAAATTAGAATTTTACAAATTTAAATCCTTCATTATTTTCTCTCAATTATATTGAATTAACATTTCTTAATGAAACTTTTCCAAATTTGGAAATTTGTTATGCAAACTGGACAGATGAAGAATAATAGGAAGTAAGATAGAATGGTGAAGTCCAAAATGAAGGAGTTTTGAAATTTTTATAATTTTGAGGACATTTTGCTCTTCTGATATTGAAACAGCAGTAATAAATTCATTCTAAGGTTTTATTCCTTTTAATTAATATTGAAGCTAATGAATTTCAGAAAGAGTGTTAAAAACCACTAAAACAGTGTTGGCTAGAAGAAATTGTTTTTCTTATCAAAGTTATGTAAGATCTGTATTGTGCTGATTACCTTATTGCACTGATTCTTATCAGAGAGGAAAAGCACTAAGCCTTGAAAGATTCCTGAAGGAAATCTTGTCCTCTTCATTCCTGTTCATCCCATTTCTCCCCAACCCAAAGAGCCAATAATTCACTTTGTAGCAGAAATATATTATAATCAAAAGAAAAAGAACATTGGTACTCACTCTTAAAGTTCATCTCTTCTTCTCATATCTCTTTGCTTGTTTGAGATTAATCCCAGATCCATTAGTCCACAAGGTGGCAGTATTTGTTTACACTACTTCTGGGTTTACATAGTTGACAAGATTAAAAATTGGTTGCAAATACAAATTTGTTTTCCTGTTTATTATATGGTCCTGAATTAACAGATTATGGGAAGATGCTTCCTACCTTTTCCTTAAATGTAGCAGTTATATTTTACATTTTTTTAATTAGGTTTTTCTATGGCCACCAGAGAGGATTGACTTGAAATTGTCTTTTAAAGTAACTCTGCATGTAGTAGTAGTAGTGCAAGTTGCTTCATGAATTTCTGATTTGAATTTCACATTCCTATAGTGCAGTGGTTCTCAACCTTCCTAATGCTGCATGTGACACTTTAATACATTTCTTCATGTTGTACTAAACCCAACCATAAAATTATTTTCATATTTTCTTTTTGAGCAGGGACTTTTGGTACAGAGTTTCTCTGTAGCTTTGGAGCCTGTCCTGGAGCTCACTCCATAGACTGGGCTGACCTCAAACTCACAGAGATCCACTTGTCTCTGTCTCCTGGGATTAAAGGCATGCACTACTACTGGCCAACTTCATTGCTCCTTTTAAACTATAGTTTTGCTACTGTTACAATTTTGATATAAATATTTGTGTTTTCTGGTGATCTTGGGCTACCCCTGTGAAAGGGTAATTGGACCCCATAAAGGTTGTGACCCACAGGTTGAGAACCAATGCTATAGCGTTATACATGAAGCTGTTTACTACTTTACATCATTTAATTGGTTTTAGCCTTTGACTTATGTTTGTTCAAGTTCAGATGTGTTGTGTTCAGCACTTGTAAACTCATGAGAAGTAAATGTTTATAGTTGTGTGATTGATTGATGTAAATTTAGTCACTTGTAATTAATCATTTACTGGTTTTAATTATTACTATAAGTAATTAAACACTGCCCTGTTTTAAGACAATTGTAACTATTTTACCTGTGCTTTTTACTCACTCCTTTAGAGTAAGTGTCTCTATTTTATAGGAAGAAAGGTGAGGTAAGGAAAAATGTAACTTGTTCAGGATCAACACAGTGTAGTGTGTTTATAGTGTGTGCTGTTCAACTGGTCACTGAAACTACTAGAATTAAACTTTGTTTTATAGTTGATGTTCACAAATATTTCTTTTGCCACACATCGGTTTATTATGACGGCAGTGTTCATCTAGAGTTTGGGTAAATTTTAATGTGCTGTTTACAGAATAAAAATTCTATAAACAGTTTTAAATTTTATTTAATAGATCTCCAGGAAATCTTTAACTTGATTTCTGAAGAAGAGGTGAATTTTAAGGAGTGAGCACCAGTGTTCTTTCTCTTTTGATAATAATATATTTCTGCTATAAGAGAATTATCAGCTCTATAGGGTTGGGGAGAAATGAGATGAACAGAAATGCATAGGACAAGATTTCCTTCAAGAATGTTTTCTAGGGCCAGCGTTCAAAAGCAGTATATTACAACCATGTTTTAGGCTGAAAACTTCATTAGAAAGGGTTCTTACCTATCTGATTTCTTGCTGTATTCCTAGGTCTGGCACATGGTAGTTACTTAGTGACAAATATTTGCTGAGTGAATGAATGACTGCAGTTTCAAGGAGAGCTCTTTTGGTCATTAGTAAATTGGCTGCTTCCTACTGTGGCTTTTAAGTTTTCCTCTGAAGGAAAGCTTTCCTAGTCTGCTTTGAGTTTGATTCAGCCTGGCTCTAGGGTGAGACTGTTAAAAACAGCAACGACAAAAGCAAAACAAACAAATATTTCCCACTAAGTCAAAAAGTAATTTCTTAGACAAGTTTTTAGTGTTGTAGTGTGGGGCCTACGTGTGACTCAGTTTCCATCTGGAGTCATTTCTGACTTTAAAAACTCATTTGAGTTCAAGCTTGCCTTCTCTGCTTTTTCCAGTAACTTTGAGGGCTATGAGAGACTTCTAATTTATCCTGTAAAAGACACTCTATCTAATAAAAAGTATACTGCTGGTGACAAACCTCAAGATAAAAAGGCTGCTTCTGAGCAGCAAGCACATGTTGGAGAGGAGGCTGCTCACTCAAGGACAAAAATGATCTTATGGTTAGATATTGACTGACTGTGCTGTGTTTTATTCTGCTTTTGTATATAAGCAAGTACTAAATAAACTCTGGGCCATTTGGCTACTTCGGCATGACAAGACAGACCTCCTGATTCTATCCTGTCTTCAGTTTCTTTCATCTGACTTTTCTTTGGCCTCAAGGATCCCCTATCCAGGAACCCTAGCTGACTCTGTAGGAGCGGGCTCCTATGTTGTAGAAATTGTTATTGAAGACTGGCATGTTTGTACATAACAAGTTTAGAGGAAGGTAAATTTA